GGTTTTGTCGACGCCGGCTACGCATATAACTCTAGCAAACAGCAGTTAGTCACGGAGATACCTGGATTTTTCGTTTCCTGACTCACAGTCACGCAGTCGCGTAGCTTCTTCTTTCTAAACACATAAAAAAGGGAGAAGCCTGACTGCAAAGGCAGTGTTTTTTCTGTATTCTGCTGAAAACTATAAGTCAAGTGCAGCAAAATGGTAAAATTTTCGATACCCTGAGATTGCATTTGCGATTACGATTGCATTTGGTACAAGGCCCACACCACAGGATCACCTTTAACACCGGTTTTCAAGGTTTGAGACGGCTAATAGTATTGTTAGCCCCCGTCCTCCACGGCTAATAGTATTGTTAGCCCCCCTCCCCCTGGGTGGGGTGCTAGTCCATCGCAGAGTTACCCCCAGCAGTCTGTCAGGCTGCCCCAACCGATTGCCAGTTTGTATTTGGAGTCCTAGGTATGAGAGTTTCTTTTGACAGTTAGCCAATAACATGCTACCTTATGGACGGTCTCTTTAGCCTACAGTGGGACTCTGCGTAAGAGGTTACATAGGAAGCTAAGGTTTCCAACACTCATAACTTGTTTCTGCTGAGTGAAATATTCCAATATATACAATGGCCATAAGCTTCAACGTGATAAAACAAGCTTCTCTAAGTAGCTACTGAACTAAGAGTTTTCAATTCACTAAAATCAAATCTTAAAGACGGTGCATGCTACTTAATTTAAATCTAATTTACATCTCATAGTTCTGTACAAGGGTAGTTCCTTTCTTCATCTTAATAGTCCATGGTGAGTACCAACTTGCCCACTGTTTGTCCAGATTCTAAATCACTGTGTGCTTTGCTGACTTCTTTGAATGGATATGGTGTGACTTTGCCAACCTTGAGCAGGCCACGTTTCACCCAGTAGAGCAGCTGTGCCATACTTTCTTCCAAAATGTCTCGGCGATTGAAGAGAAAGCTCAGGTTGAATGCCATGACGCTTTTATTTTCAGTCGTCATCTAAAGAGAGAAACGTCAATCAATCAACCAATTGATCAATCAATCAATCAATCATTCAATCAATCAATCAATCAATCAATCAATCAATCAATCAATCAATCAATCAGGGTCTGAGGGACTCTAAGGATGTCGCTCCCCCCTGAAAATAAGCTCCCAACACCTACCCAAAATGCTAGGTGAAAAAATTCTTTAAGAAAAGATCTTATAATGTGTAATCTCTTACTACATTTTTGCAAATAAGTGCACAATATTACTGTGTGCTACCTTTAGAGGATTGAACTGAGGAGTGTTCTTGTAGTTCCATCCAATTTTTATCCATTGCCACCAGCTGATCACACCATTACTAGTGTCGCTGGATCTTGGAAGCATAGTATGAAAACCTAAGATATAGGAAAACTATTTATTTAATTTTACAAATAAATAAATAGGGACTGGTAATGATGCAGTTGCATATTAAATTAATTTAAAAAGAACTAAATGGACATAAATCCAACGAACACATTGCTTCTGGTGTTTTCTTAATTGGGTCTCCCCTTCCCCCCTTTCTTGCACTATCAGTCTCCACCTGCCACCAACGGAGTAAGATTGCTTTGATGTGTTGGCCAGCGTGATTGGCACAGAACCACACAAAGCAGATATCAATATTATTGTACATTTATTCATTCAACCATGAGGCTAACAACAGTTAACCGAATCTGGGAAACCTGGATGGGGCTTCCTACTGAGGAAGGCCTGTGTACAAAGGCAGGGCCAACAGACATACACCATCATAAATTTCCAAAACATAGCTATTTATAAATTAGTGAGAAGGGCTTTTTGGTCATAGGGAGAAGGTTAACGTTGATTAAAGTTTCTGTCTAAGGTAATAATGAATATAAGAATGCCATTAGGGTTGACCCTCTTTTTCATCTATGAGCTATTATGTAATGTGCTGCAAGGCTTTAAACAGAGTCCACTGCCTTATCCATTTAAGACCTTAAGAAATGAAATGGTCTACCATGAATCAAACACATACCATAAACAACTAGCCTGCCCCCTGGCGCAAGGTGATCATAGCTCTCTTGCAGAGTGTCAACTCCGTTAGCATCAAACACAACTTGGTAACCACCAGGAGAATGTGACTCGGCAGCTTTCCATAGATCTTCCATGGATTTGTCGATGACGTGGTGGCAGCCTGATGATAGCAAACCAAAGCGTAAACTTAAGTTTTTTTTCATGTCTTTCTTTCTCTTGAAAAATTAGCTGATTTTTTTACTGTGACTTTCAAATGAAAAGAAAGAGAAATACATGCTGTCGTAATTCTTTTTCACTTATTTTCCCCTGATTTCAAGAAGTAATGTATGCAGAAAACTCTACTGCAGCAGTTTCCTTTATAGTTCTTATGTACATGTAGCAAGGCAGTTATCATGCGCAATTATTGTGACCTACAGAGTAGAAAGACCAGACGGGAAGTTGCCTCCTGTCCTCTGTTGTATCAAATCAGCAAGAATATTTCAATTGTCTTCTAAAACACCTTGTGACACCCTCCTGTCACTTAACAGCACAGAGGCAGAGAAAATTTATGTCCACGTGTACTCAACTTTTTTTCTTAATCCATTTTGCTTTGCAGGTTGTATGTGATTGATAACAGCTACAAAGCAGATACACAAGAAAACATTTTGTTTCTCCAAACAAATTACTTCTGAATCAATCATCATTGATGCGAAAAACTCACCCAGCAGCTTTCGATCTTTATAATGAATCTTTTGTTGAAGCAGTAACTAAAGATAACCTTTTGTTTCTCCAAACAATGGAATCATCAAAGCGATGCAAGCCTCTTTCTGTTTCAGTTTGTTTGCTAATGACTTTCTGTGTTTAAGCATTTGATTTTTTTGAAAGTGAAAAACCTTTTGTCAGCCATTACCTCTGAACAATTCAGTCAGACTAGCTGGTCTAATTCAGTCTAATTCGTCTAATTCAGATTATTGCTGTCATTGAACCAAGCAGTAGCCAGACGTGAGATCCATAAATTAATTATTGGTAGACCTTGCCTCTGGCTACATCTTGGCGCGTAGAGGGTCAAGACAAATTTTATTTCTAAAAAATCCTTCACAGTGCATTTGATTTTTATTTCACTAGATCGACAAAATGTAAGCCTTACCTATTTGCTTGACAAGATCCACTTTATGACTTGCTCCCACTACACCCACCACGTTACAACCATGGATCTTCGCAAGCTGCACCAGCATACTTCCCACTCCCCCTGCAGCAGAGTGTACAAGTATCCAGCTACCAGCTCGGGGTCTGGCAAGTTCAAACATTCCGTACCAAGCGGTCAGAGCTACAGTCAAAAATCCAGCTGCCTCGTGCGTATCGAAATTTTCTGGTAACGGAAACACCTGATGTTTTGGCACTCTGATGCGTTTTGAGTAAGCTCCAAAGATAGACACACCGAAGACTTTTTGGCCGATCTTAAAGTTCGTCACATTTTCTCCTTTGCTTTCGATTTCGCCACTGAATTCAAAGCCAGGTGTGATCGGCCAACCAACGAATTTCTTAGCTGACTCGTACAGGCCCCAGCGAGTGCAGACGTCGGCATAGTTTACACCACAAGCGTATGTTTTGACAACAACTAAGTCTTCCTCTTTGATGTTCTCTAGTTTGATGTTAGCACTCTCTGTGTACCGATCCTCGGCAAGATCTGTGTATACAAGCTTGTCGTATCCGCCAGGTGAAGGAATTTTAATCATCGTTGAGCTCTTCTACGCAAACAAACAAAACAAGGACGAAAAACTTGTGAAAACCTGCTCCGAATGAAAGAGCAAAGCTCGAAGTCCACGAATATGACGAGACATCTGAGATAACCCAAATTCAGCCAGGCGTTCAATGCCGGTCAACAACACGTGACGGTGAAACTGTGTGGAGCATGTGACAGTTGTGTCCGTGACAGCGACTGCGTTACGTTCAGTTGTTCACCAGCCGGTTCACCGGAGAGACTCTGCGCTCGATGTACGCGGATTTATTGATACAAATTTATTAATTAAATAATGTTCCTTTATCTGCCACGTGTTTTTGATTCTTTATCAAAAACGAATGGTAACCGTTTCCTGTTTATTTATCTAGAAAGGAAAATGGGAAAATCAGAGCCTTGGGGTCGGGGAGGGGGCCAGGGGCCCATTTCTAGAAAGCCCCGGAAACTTTTCGGGCCCGTAAAGCCATTTTTAGTTCATCTGTATCTAAAAACGGAGAAGTGTATACGCCTGAAACTTCTTGTATGAAGAGAACTCCTGTTCTTATTAAGAATACGTGAATAAACAGCTGTGGATGATCATAAGTTTCGAGACTTTGCTACGGTTTTCCGGGTGCAAAAACTTTTCGGGACCTTCGAGAAACGGGCCTCAGGAACTCAAAGGTTCTCCCGAAAATTGCCCGATCCCGAAGCCCATATGTACAACGGTTGCAGAAACTAACTACTACTTCACCCTGGGTGGGATGGCGTACTGATCCATGGAAATGCTCACCCATTCTCGCTGAATTTTACGGTCATCTATGGGGGGCGGGGGAATGTGAGAACAATCTATAACCAAAAAAAATACATCGTCATGGTCTGTGCAGGAGCTCGAATCCGGATCGTGGATGGTGGTGAGTCAGCTCACATGGGTGTCCAAACTGAACGCTCAATTTCCAAAGGAAAAACCCTGGGAATGAGGTTGACGGGTGTCAGAAAAAAGCTGGACTCTAGAGAAAAGTTAACACAGAAATAGGGCGACAACGTCTCCATGTGCAATAATTTATTGACAGATGTAGTCGCTTAATCCCTATTAGGTCTGATGTAAATATATTATTACAAAATTCTGCACTCAAATCTCATAAATAATATATTAATTACCTTGTAAACACATTTATACACTTAAAACATCTTCAAACCCGCGAAACTTTTCTAATGAACTTAATCCACGCATTGATATAAGAAATACTCAACCCACGGTCTATGATTACAAAATATGCTCTGGTTTCCTACGGAAATATTTTAGTAAATTGGCAGAAAACTTGTCCATAATACATGGAAAGCGTAAAAAGATACAAATTTGAGATTAATCACTGTCGTAGGAGCAGAGAACTCTTTAGTCTCTGCTGTGGTAAATTAAGAGAATTTCCCCTACAAAATTTGAATTATTTTTTGGACTGTGTCAAATTATCAAAAACTCGGGGAACAATTCAATTTCTACCAGAACAAGAAGTCAAGGACATCTGAAATATAACTGTGCTATTTTCGACCTAAAAACGCATTTCTTTCTTCAGTAGGTATATTATTGTTTTAAGTTGCTTGAATGAGCTTACAGCTCATTTTTCATGAACTGAAAGGACTTTAGTGGAAAAATGACAAAACACAGCTTTTAGCATTTATAGTGCCAACACACAAGTTTGACAAATTTTCTTGAAATTTTTTCTTGGGAAGAATTGACAACAAAAAGCCCACATTGATTGCATGTTCTGACACCAGGTGCTTTATCCACGCACTTAAAAGAAAATTAAAAACATCTTGTACAGCGTAATGAACAGTATCACGTGAGAGTAGTTCTCCGTAGCTTTCATTTGAAGGGATGCACTTCATTTTATCCATAAAACTGAACTCTATTCGTATCAAATACGTCCAAGGGACGTAACACAAAACACGCTTTACAATATTTACAGGTAAAAAATATCTGTTCATTGTAGTAAAAATCTAAAATGAACATTGCTTTCAGTCCTATGACAAACAAAAAAAGGAAATATCTCCAAAACCTGTTAAAGATTGAGCCATGTTCTTGAAAAAATACCCCAGCTCAAAATTTATTTTTTCTTTAAAATCCGTATTGTATTCATAATAAAAGTTTCACCTTTTTGCAACATTCTTACCACCCATTAACTTTTAGACCAGAAGCAGCATTTTCAGTTCGTCATAGCTGCATTTGGAAACATTTTGGGAGGAAGAATCAATTCATAGGTTGCACAATCGATTAATTTTATTAGTCGCATATCTTCCCACTGTATGAACTGTAAAAATACTTTAAAAAACAAGGTCACGCAAAGGTGAAACGTTTATGTGACGACACAATTTTTAAAATGTCACGCAATGTATGAAATGAAAGGTGTGCGTGACACAATACAAATGCCAGCATTTGTGATTGCCCTGTGCGTCAGAGAGATGACATTGGTTCCTTCTCGTAAAATAGGATGTATGCTTGAGGTCCTCGCACCTTTGATGATGACAAACTATCCACACTAAGAAATAGAGAAGATCTCTGTTAAGATTTTTATTTTAAAATAATCAAATTTAACAACAAGAATGAAAACAATGGCAATGACAATGACAACGAAAATGATAAAAATCGCTATCACTAAACAGTACATGCTCGACCGCTACCCAGCTTTCTTCAAACCATTTAAATTAAGTGTCCATGGATACTTGTTCCAAGTCTGGAAAGGGAATCACAAGATTCCCTGAAAAACCTATCAGCCATCTTTTGGGGATTCTTATCATCGTAAAATCTATTTAATTGCCACCAAGTGCGGAAACCATCTGTCTTATACAGAGTACTCACCGTGAGTCGTTGAAGCAATGCCACTGATTGCTGAATGGATGTTTACAGTGCGCTGTGTAATGACCGCCATATGTGCTACCCGAATGGTTTGAGACTGCGTACAAAGAGTACACTGCTGACCGGCGGTCTAACAGGAGACAACAAACATTGTAATGAAATCAACATTTTCAATTCCCAAATAATTGAATAATGAGACAGTCGAGAGAGTGAATGTTTCTTGTTGTATTTAACACTCCCAAAATGTAACAAGGTTACCTTGAGGATCAGCTGCAAAATCTGCGAGATCCAGTTTGCTTAGCGGGAAATCAACATTTGACAGTAGCTTGGATCGGAAGCTAAATCCTGAAAAACGCTTCAAATCTGTTTAATGAAAACTATGTCAAGGACAGAACCTTGAAAGTGAAAGGGATTCAACATCTGATATGAAAACTATAATGCTAAGAAACTTTCATTCTCTGATCTCTTCTAGACGAAGCTACCAGAAATCTGGGACCAAGATAAGAAATGCGAAATGCGAAATGAGAAGTGAGAAAGGCGAAAGGAGAAAGGCGAAAGGCGAAAGGCGAAAGGCGAAAGGCGAAAGGAGAAAGGTGAAAGGAGAAAGGAGAAAGGCGAAAGGCGAAAGGCGAAAGGAGAAGGGAGAAGGGAGAAGGGAGAAGGGAGAAGGGAGAAGGGAGAAGGGAGAAGGGAGAAGGGAGAAGGGAGAAGGGAGAAGGGAGAAGGGAGAAAGGAGAAAGGAGAAAGGAGAAAGGAGAAAGGAGAAAGGAGAAAGGAGAAAGGAGAAAGGAGAAAGGAGAAAGGAGAAAAGAGAAAGGAGAAAGGAGAAATAAAAAATAACAAATATTGACAATGTAAAGGATACGAAGGACAAGGATTGGCGGAAATCTTTGGATTGAAAATTTCTTTGTGGATTTTCTCTTGTGTTCACACTTATCACAAGTCTGAGAAAGCAAAATGAAAACAGCAGTTAGCCTAGACTTCTTTACCCCTTGACAAAACATACCTTAACTAAGTGTGTAAAATGTAAACTGTAAAATGCCTCTTTTCTGACCTTATATTTATTTTCAATAAATAAATGGTGGTCACCCAACTAGTTTAGCTCTTTAGTTATCTTGGGTGACCTGCAACTGTATGTATTTTTAATTTATTTATTAATTAGTAATTAAGTTAATTTTACAGTTCAAATAAACCTTGTTGTTGTTGTTGACCAATTTTCTCTTCTTTACCAACACGCCCCCTTGTTTACCTGTCTCGAGCGCCATTCAATCAGGGATACATGGACCTCCATAAAGCTACGTCATGAAACGTCATTTACAAGTGGACTACTTTTTTTGCAAAATTAAACCAGTATTATCTGGTTTCTGCTTTAAGGCTGGTTTTCACTTGCGACGGAGTCGAAGTCGGAGTTATAGTCGTAGTCATTAAAGCACTTACGACCTAGTGAAAATCAAAAATCGGAGTCGTAAGCGGAGTCATAAGCTCGACGGAATCGGAGTCAGAAGAATTAGAACGTTTCCACTTCTTCCGATTCCGTTTATGACTCCGTCGTTAATGATCCAGTGAAAACTAGATTGTCGGAGTCGGAAGCAGAAACGGAAGAACCGACCAATCACAAGGCCCGAAAACGAACATTGTGATTGGTATATTCTTCCGCTTCTGATTCCGACTCCAACAATCTATTTTTCACTGGATCGTAAGCGACGGAGTCATAAACGGATGCGGTGTTCTGCTTCCGACTCCGTCGGTTTGATTTTCATTAGATCGTATCGCTTTACGCTTCTGATTACGACTCCGACTACGACTCCGTCGCTAATGAAAACCAGACTTTAGGGCTTCTCAAAATCAAGCTGAAAATCGAGAGTTGACTTACAGGTCTTTCATCGCCATCCAAAACTTCCTCCTTTGTGAAGGACTGTATACACTCTCTAAGATTGATGTCACCATCGTCTGCCATGCTTGATCGAGTTCCAGACCATGAAGATGACGATGATGACGAACTGCGGTATTTCTGTGTGTTGAAAATCAAAGACTAATAAGACAAATACAGTGCGTAAAGAGTGCAAACAGGGTCACATGCACATAGCACGAGACAGGACATCACTCCCTCTTACACTGCACTTATTTTAAATTTTGGCCGATAGGAGGGGCGCTTATTCGAGGGGGGGGGGGGCGCTAATTCGAGGATTTACAGTATAAAATCTGCAATCTGGTATCCCTGGCAAGATAACACTTTCACAAGAACAACGTACGCACAGCTTGTATTAGGTGGACATTAACTGGTGCACATGTTTACTCACAATGCACGCAAGCTGCCTCAAAAGCGTGTCCTCCACCTTTTAGCCTACGTGTAGCCGTACCCACCCCCCGAGGAAAAACGAGAGGGAGGGNCCACCTTTCGGAGGAAGAAGTACATTTAAGCAACCAGATTTAGATTGACTTGTACTGTTAAAAGACGAGAATGACCAGGTACTACCTGGCCAGCAGGTGCTTGTAAAAAGATTTGCCAAAAAAGATTCTTTTCCCTAGCCTCAGCAGATCCATCTCTCTAAAGAAGTTATGTTGAAGATACAGTTTTATAACAGTTGACTTACCCTTGGAATAGGTAACGACAGATCCCAGAATGGATCAAAAGTAACAGACGTGTGACCGCAATCACAGCATTTTAACATACTCTTCAACTGTCCTACAAAAAGATCTGAAAGGAAAAGAGGAAACAAAATAAATGTCTTGCCCACACTAACTTGCATCAAACTACTGATAGCAAACAGTTTGTTAGTCTCCTACAAAGACATTCTTCTGGCTCATCATGCTTGACTCCTCCTCAAAGGAAAGATTGGTGATGACCTTATTGACTTTGGTAAAGGTACAAATGTGTTAAGTCTGCATATGGCTCATCCGGCCAGCACTTATCTCCAGTTTCAGTCACATGAAGTGACTAGGAATATTTCTACTCCCCCAGGATGGGATGTTAGTCCATTGTAGGGTTACCACCCAGTATTAAATTCGCTGGTACCCATTTATACTCCTGCATGGAGAGAGGCACTGTGAGAGTAAAGTGTCCTGCCCAAAAGAACACAACACAATGTCCCTGGCCTGGGCTCGAACCTGGACCGCTTGCTCCAGAGGCAAGCGCACTAACCATGAGGCCACTACACCTCCACAACTTGTTGACTTACCAGTCATCAAACTGTTGTCACGTGAAAGATAATTACTCCACGACTTCTCTGCATTCTGATGATCGCTAGAAAACAAAAAAAATATTGATTAAGTTAGCTTTCATGAATTATGTTGAAATGGGCACTACCTGAACACCTGCACTGTTTCACAAGAAATTATACATTTTCACAAATAGTGGAAAGGAGAAGTCATAACCATTGTTTACCTGAGGGAAGCATCATATTCACAAGGTGTGTATTTTGGCTTGGATTTCACGTGATTCAAGTCATCATGTAATCCTTCAAGTAGAAACCGCAGAAACTCCTGAGCATCTTGTTGACTGAAAATAATAAAGATAAAACAATGTCGATTACTTGTCACAATTTAGACATGTACATTCATTAATTAAAATTATGGCCTTTAAAATAAATGTACCAGTGTGAAATAAGAGCCATGGCCATCCAAAACATACTTCAGTTTGCTTTTCTATTACCTGACCACCACGGAAAACAGCTATCACTGAGCTATGCAAGCTTGCCAACTTTTTGAGAGGTTTCACCCCTTCCTGGCTCTAACATTCAGATACTGAATTCTTTTTAGAGAAAGCCACTACCTATTTACTAATTTTGAGAAATTTTTTATTCATCACAATGACAACATCCCTAAGATGATGTTTTCACCTACACCCTACTCTATCAACCGTAACAACTGGAGGTTACTACAGCATAAACTACACCTTAAAGAAAAGGCAGCTTACTTGTATCCCATAAACCGTGGGGCAAACCTTTGGATCTGAGTCTTGAAGGAATGCGGGGACACAGCGTCACTGTTGCCTGGCTTCCACATCGACTTTATCAACTCTGCAAAGGCTGTTGAAAGATTTAGGAAATTGAAATTTTAGACTTAAACATCTTACATGTAGGTGTAACTGTGCCTCTGACAAACCCTGATTTTCAAAACCCATCTAGTGATTGAATTTGGTTACTGCCATCAAATCAACGGAATGGATTGAAATCTCTCAGTCACAAACCAGATAAAAACCTTTTAACCCTTCAAAGTGGGGTGTAAAGTCCAGCTCCACGTCCCTGTCGTACACCCTGGGCAACGTCCTAAAGTAGGGGAGCGCCAGTCAGGGTGAAGTGCGGTGGGGAAGCCTCATTCCTCAGGGCCGCTACGGTAACCGTGAAGGCCTGACTGGAACCCTGAAAAGGGGCGGCTAACGGAGCTCTGGTGAAGGCTAACCCCCTACGTGGTGGATTCATTGGGTTACTGAAACCGAAACTATGGAAAACTTT